TATTTTTGTGTAAAACACCCAGAAATGTCACGGAAATTTACATGATCTACATTTTGTCCGGATACTTTTGGCAGGTGTATAATAACGAATTATGCTTTATGTTACGAATTAATTAATTAATTATTGGTACATATGTAAACTCGATAAGTCGGCCAAAATTTTCACCCCATTTTCTTAATATTTAAGTAATTTAATTCGATAAGTCAATTTACTCGATAAGTCGGTCATATGAGCTCACCCCCACATGAACGACTTATCGAGTTTACATATGTAATTTGAATGCTTAAAATTAAAGAATCTTAATTACTAATTGATAAATTCTTATTCATTTTTTTAACTAGGGTTTGTAATTATTATAAATTTTTATTAAATTTTTGAATATATGATTTATCCCTTTATATTTATAAAGAACATATACAGAAAGGGATTGTGCGTCATCATGCTACAGAAGAGCTCATTTAACAGCAGAGTTCAAGAAAATAGAAACAAGCGACGTTAGTACTACTAAAAATAACATGAAAGTTGGGAAGGTGTTTACAAAAATAAAATTATCAAAGGTTTTGATGAAAATTAACGAACAATTCAAAGAAGGTGCAATTCAAATTATTACAGTAAAGTAAAAAAGAAAACAAAAGGAGAAAACTGAAAATGAATAATTTTTATTTATATATTTTATTGAATAAAGAAGCTAGACCAGATGTTTGAGATACGATTTGCCGACACTTCAATATATTCGTTTTTGTTTTTATTAATTTTTATTATAAGCAAGTTCACTTTTTGACCAAGTAAAAAAACAACCAGTTGATTAATTGGCCAATTGTATTTATTTATTTAATATTTCAATGCCTCGCACATAAGAGTAGAGCAAAATTAATATTAAAATTAATATTAAATTATTTCTTTTATAAAAGTTCTGTCCGTTCTGTAAAAGTATTTTCACAATTTTAGTAATTGGTAACGTTGATTATTCACAGGACCGGGAAAACTCTATTGTATGTCACCGCCAAATCAAATGGTGATTTTTTTATAATTGTACGAATCAATTTGACGATAATAATAACATTCAGCAATTTATTAATAATGCGAATCAATCAATATAGCCTGTAACATAAACAGATGATTAAACTCTTGAAAGCAAATTTTGTAAATTAGAATTCAAATTGGAACATGAGCATGCTCCCCAGAAAATAAACTATATCTTATAGTATAATATAAATTGTAATGTCACTCATATCCTGCCATGATGCCAACAAATTGACGTGCACTTTTATTTATTTTTTATCCCATTTTTTTTTACACAAACCTCCATAATAAATAATCAAAATAATACCTTCAAACTTTCTCTTTCATAATCTGCTAATTTGAAAAAAGTATACTTTTATTCAAAATTGATAAATTTTTGTATAAAGAGTTTGTTTTTGCCTAAATATTTGTTAACCCTTTTTTTTATTTTTATAATGAATAAAATGTCGAGATCATTAACTAGCACATTACTTTGCTTATTTGCCAAACCTGTTGAAAGAGTCACCAGTTGAAATTATGTGAATAAATTTTGGAGACAAGCATCGGGAAAGGCAGTAATGGAACATGTACAACCTTTTACTAAGTAGATTAATTGTCCACAAAGGCTTACATTCTTTTTGAATAATAATATTTCTTATTGAAATAAAACTATTTAAATTGTATTAACTGTGATGTATTTACAATAAAACAGTTTAAAGAATTAGATAAGAAATATTTAGAGAGTAAATTAGTGCAATGTAAGCAAGAAATGAAGAAAGGTGGAAGTACACAGTGAGTCACGATTTAACGGACATGTTTGTTCCAGGAAATTTATCCGCAAAACGGAACAAAAACCAACAGGCATTTTAGTAATGACTTACAATCAAGGAATAAAAATCGTTACTTCGAATGAATCAGGATGTATCAGGGAATGTTTAAGTGAAAAGAGTATACTTGTAAAATTTGAAAGGTTGTTATTTGGTGTACCTGCGCCTGCCTCACAAGTGTAACAACGAATTTCCCATACTGCAAACATTCCTTTTATATTATTTATATTATGTCGATCATTTTTCAATATTAAGACAATCTGCACTGTAACTAATTAAATAATCTATTTTCCGCTTTATTTTTTTTTACTTATTGAAAAAATGAATTATTTAAAATATATAATAAAGTTTATATTACTATTATGTTTATCAATATTATTAGGGTTTTATTATGAAAGTTTAGTTTATCCTTACAATGTTTCACATTTTAAAATAGATCCTCAATATTTTCAGTATAATCATCTGCATAATCAACGTAGTAATCAAACGATAACTTTTAAAACCATTGCAATAATTGGTAAGTAGATCAATTCTCCCTCTTAATAATAATAATAATAATATTTAAAATTATTTAGGTGCAGGAGCTGGTGGCTCATCAGCTTCTTATTGGCTGAAAGAAACATTTAATAACTCTAATAGTAGTAGTTTAAAATTTAATACAACAATTTATGAAAAATCATCAATAATTGGTGGACGTGCTAAAGTTGTTGAATTTGAATCTGTTAATGGGGAAAAATTTAACATTGAATTGGGTGGATCACTATTTATTGATAGAAATTATCATATAATTAATGCATCAAAGCAATTTGGATTAGAACTTATTTATTATGGTGAAGAAACACCTAATGCAAGAAATGGAATGTAAGTATTTGTTGTATTGATATAATGTGATCACCAAATCATTCATTATTGGTTAATTATTGTGGTTATTATGGTTATAGGTGGAATGGAGAAAAATTTGTATTTGAGCAATCTACTAGTTATTATTGGGATGTAATGATAATGACATGGAAATATGGGCTTGCTCCAATTAAAGTAATGTTTAAAAGTAAATTTTTAAAACAAAAATCTTAATAATATTGATATTATTTAATGTTACTTAATAGGTTAATAATTTGATTCAAGCAACAGTAAACAAATTTTTAAATATTTATTATCTCGTGAACCCATTTACTAGCATTGATTCAGCTATTGAGACGTTGGATCTTTCTGATTTAGTAAAATTCACTGGTGAATATTATTTCTCTGAAATTCAAAAAATAAATCAAAACTACCTTTATGATATTGTAGAACCAGTTGTACGTGTTAACTATGCTCAAAATTTAAATGAAATTCATGCAATGGGAGTTTATATTGGATCAGCATCTATAGGAGCCAAAAAAATTAAAGGAGGGAATTATCAATTATTTGAAAAATTTGCTGAATATTCAGAAGCAAATATTAAATTAAATTCAAAAGTTATAAAAATAACAAAAAGATTGTCAGATACATCATTGAGATATTTGGTTCAAACTGAAGATGGAAATGTTGATGAGTATGATGGAATTATCTTGGCTACTCCAATAGTATGTAATATTTCATTTCTACATATAAAGTCAATAAAAACAGGGAGACCCTAAAATTAGATTTTTGAGAAGATTGAAAAAATACTGCATTTGAAACTTTACAGGAAAAAATCTCAAAACCTTGCTATGTAAAATTGGCATGATATCTAAGCCAAAAATGGTTTACATAAAGAGTTAGTAGTGCTAATTCAAAATATTGAGTTTCCCTGTTTTTATTGAAAAACCTCACATATTTTGTTTTTTTTTCATTTAAAAATAATTAAATATTATATTCCTACCTATTTAGGAAGTTTCAGGAATAATTTTTGAAAATATTTCTAAAATGCAAGAAATCAAAGAGATTCCATATGTAACACTTCATGTAACATTGGTGGCAGGAAATTTGAATCCAAATTATTTTGGTAAAACATCATTTGATGACTTACCACTACAAATAGTGACAACAAATAGTCCAAAAGTGGAATTCTTATCCTTAACAACTGAAAGAATATTGAGTAATGGTGAAACAGTTAATAAAATTTTCACTCTAGATTATTTGTCAGACGAAATTTTATCCAGAATTTATTTAAACACCTCTTGGAATTATAGAAAAATTTGGAAATCATATCCTAAATTGTTACCAAATCAGACTTTTCCACCTTTAGAAATTGATGATAATTTCTTTTACATCAATAGTTTTGAACCTTTTATTTCTGTAAGTTTTAAGTTTTTTTTTTTTTTGAAGGAAAGCTTAATCAATTGAAATAATGAAATAATAAAATAATAATTCTTTTCTTTTATTTTAGACTATGGAAACTGAAACAGTTTCAAGTAAAAATATTGTCAATATAATAGCAAGTAAGTGGGATGTATTTATTAATAAAACAAATCCTTAACCCTATTTGACAATGATGATGATAGTAAATAGCTATTTTTTATAATTAGTAAATATAAATATATATAACCAAGAGGTATAATTTAACTAAATTTATTCGCATATTCTTTGAATTATAATCAATTGTCCTTAAAAATGAAACATTTCGATCACAAAATATTTGTAATATTAATAAAATTGATGCTTTTAAAACATCTTTGGTAATCCAATATATATCTTCTGATATAGGATTAATCCATGGTCTACCTTACTCTTTCTATAAATTTCACAAATTATTGATTATCAGCAAGTTGTTCATTTTTGTAAAACTTTGCATGATCTTTTTGTCATAAAGCTATATCAGCATTCTAAATTGAATTTTGTTGTTGATTTCATGTCCCAATATTGGATCATTGTATTCAGGGCCAGGTGTAACATGTCAAATTTTTAATTTTAGATCTTCAATTTCTTTCTCTCTTTTCTTATTGATATTATTAATTTCTTCTAATAGTTGTTTGTTCCTTATTTTATTTATTCTTTTAATATACTTATATCCTTTTTATAAGGGTATGTTGAGCATATAAATTATTTTTAGTTACTTTTTTGCTATAAAAGTGGAAAAAGTTAACAATATTTAACAAAAGGTTAAACTTATTAAACATAATGACAGTAAGGGACAAATTAACAAGTGATGAAGTCATAGATATACATACAGCTCAAATATTTTGACACTGTCATAAAGGGGGTTACACTTATGTTTTTAATAGTGATTGCTGTAATTAATTTCTATTTTCTACCATCAAAATCACCAAACCAATTTGGGCTGCATGTATAGTCACAGAGGTGATTTTATTCTAAATATTTATTCATTTCCAGTATAGATTGGTCTTGGGCAAGTAATATCTTTACATTCATCTTTCACAAATGGGCAAATATTATGATAAAGATATTCTTGCCTTTTGTAATCCAAAAGAGGTGGTGTTAAGACTAAAATAGATAAGACTTTAATTTCTTCAAAAATATATGCTTTTTTAATTTTCAATAAATTGAGTAGTTGGAAAACGTTTTCACTGTTTAGTCTCATGAATGCTAAGGAATTAATAAAGTGAGCAAATTACAGCTTTCCAACTCCTCTGCCCATCAATTAATTCTAGAGAATGTCTAATTATATAAATTTAAGCTTGGAAATGAGTATCATTTGTAGATACAAGTTCATACTTAGTTTCAATATTCATCAGCCAAGCAAGCTTCACATTACTGATGTGTAATACAAATGATACAATCCCATCAGCAGTTGGGGAAACACCCTTTGTTACTGCAGATGATTCTTTTTTTTTAAGTTGCTGGCTGTATCAACCAACCAATTATTCATGAAAGATATAAATTAAATTCATTTAAATGCTGAGCTTCTGTTTCAAAATAGTCCAGCATTGTATTACAAAGCTTCACAACATTTTCTTTTTTAAAACATGTACTTTACTATGCTTCATGAGGAATTTAAGCTCTGGTCATTGCTAAATTTAGACTAGTTTTTGATCCTCATTACTAAATTTAGACTAATGCTCGAACATCATATCTAAATTTGGCAGCAAGGAAAGTAATTTTTGTCCAAAATCACGTGAAGCCCTTATTGCATAGATCCAACCATAGAAATATTTTGATGGCCACCATGTGACTTAACACAGTGAGTTGGTTCCACTCCAGTCCACATTTTACTATCTCACAACATTTTTTAACCATGAAAGAATCAATCTCTGTATACATTATCAAAAATCCATTTTGTCACATAATTGTATAACAAATAGCTGAAGGAACCCTGGATGGATGGATCCTAAAATAATGTTGTTAATCTTCATTAGAAATTTTTTCAATTTTTGCTTTACCACATTTAATATCTAGAGTAGATAGTGGAATGCTATATATCTCTATCTCAAGGACCTCAGATAAAATGGATAAAAAGAATATACAAGCATTAAAAAGATTCTAAGACTATAATATAGCTTCAGGCTTTCAAATTATGCATATTAAAAATGTAATTGACCAAATTTTTAAAAATTTTAATCATTTAAATTATTTAAGGGTCATATATTATGATTTTTTTTCCATTGTATAAATTTTATTTCCTAGTTGGTAAAATAATTTTATACCCACAATTATTTATTTATAAATTAATTTTTTAAATAAATCATTTAATACTTTGGGATTTGCTTTTCCCTTTGATTGTTTCATTGCTTGACCAATAAAATATTGGATTAGATTTTCTTTTTCTTTTACTTTTATTTCCATCACCTAAATAGAATATAATTAAATTAACAAATTATTATATTTTTAATTTTTACATAAGTAAAAAATATATACCAAATTTGGATTTTCCTTTAAAACTGATTTACATAATTTCTCTAGTTCATCAATATCACTTAATTGTTGCCAACTTTTTTCAATGATGATATCTTTTGGTAGACGTGTATCACCATCAACCATCATCATTAAAACTTTTCTAGCAATCTTACCTGAATTTATCCAAGAATAATAATAATAAAATAATAATATTGTTTTAGAGTCCATAATAATAATAACATTATTACAGGGTTTTTAGAAAATTTATTTACCGGATATTTCGTTATTGTTAACACAATCAATTAAAGAGCCAAGTTGCTCAATTAAAACAGGATTCTGATAAAACTTTAATCCTTTAAGGTTTAAAACTCCAAACAATTCATGTATAATAAAATTTATGACATGTTGTGAATTACGATTCTTTGATACCTAAATATAGAATGGTAATAGCAAATAATTTCTGTAAATTTATCAAAAGTTTTTTTAATAAAGAATAGATTCAAATTTAATTGCCTCTTCAAAATATTCTGATGATCCAATTTCATTAGTTAAAACATTAACTTCATGTATTGATAAATTATATTGCTCCAACAATCTTTTCTTCTTATTGTCTGGTAATTCTGGTAAAGAATCAAATATTTTGGTAATATGTTTCTAAATAAATAAATAAATCCATTAAAAAGATAAACATATATTTGTAATATTTAAAATTAATAACAAGTAATATAAATTATCTTAAGGTTACTTTTGTTAATAGTAATGGTGGTAAATCAGACTCTGGCATGTATCTAATATTTTGATTTATGAAATAACTTAATTAATTTATTATTATTATTATTACTAAACCTTTAAAGATTTCAGCTTAATTTACCTATAGTCAGTTAAAGTTTCTTTGGTTCTTAATTTAAAAGTTTTATTAGCTGGAACATCATAGCCTCTTGTTTCCTGAATAATTGAATTTCCTTTGATTAATTCTTGGATTTGTCTATATATTTCTGCATCTAATGGACAAGCCATTAATAATAATAATTTTACAAAAAAACTACAATTTGTTTATATTAAAATTATATATATTACCTATTGCTAACATTAAAAACTTTACACTGTTCAAATTTTTAATTTCACACCTTGTGCCAAATGGTGTTCCATGTTTATGAACAGAAACATTAACATCACATCTTAAGGATCCCTAACATTATGTAGAAAAATATTATTAACTTAAAATTTGCATAATTATAAAATTTTAATAAAAATTAAAAACCTCTTCCATATTCCCATCAGAAGATCCAATTGTTCTAAGCAACAGTTGTAATTTTCTTAATGCCAATCCTGCTTCTTTTGATGTCCTAGAAAGTATATGGAATGATTATCTTACTATTCTAATAATTGAAATATTTTTTTTTCAAAATTTACCTTATATCTGGTTCTGTTACTATTTCCATTAATCCTACTCCAGCTCTATTTAAATCAACCAATGTCATAACATCATGGGTACTTTTTCCAGTATCCTTGATAATATTTATGATCCATACATTAATAATATCCATGTTAAATTAGAAATAAGCTATATATATAATTTCTACCTGTTCTAATTGTATTTGTTTGATTCTTATTTGAGCATCATACTCAAGACCATCCAATTTTGACAAACAAATTTTTCCACCAATAGAGATTGGTGCTATAATTATGTTAATTAACAAAAAATTATGAAAAAAAACAATGCACACACATTTCTATTTACCATAATGCTGAGTGATTTGATAACCAGCAGGCAAATCAGGATAAAAATAATGTTTTCTATCAAAAAAAGAAACCAATTGAACATTTCCTGATAATGATAAAGATGTAGCTATTGCATGATCAACACACTTGGAATTCAATCTCTAGGTAACAAAATTTTTGGTATTTATCATTACTGTTGTTGTTATTATTATTATCATTATCACCAACATTATCATTATTATTACATGATTTTTTCTAATTCATGTATTAGACTGAATTACCGGAATTGTTCCTGGAAATGCAGCATCGATCAATGAAATATTGGTGTTAACAGGTTCATTGAATAGTGTAGAAGATGCTATGAAATTATCAAACTAAGAAATTGAAAATAGATAATAAAATAAATAAATAAAGGATGTGAATTATCAGGAAACACATACAGGAAAAAAGTTTTGTTTTCGAATTAATTTGTGCATGTATTTCCAGACCAATTATTGCCTCCCATTCATCCAAATTTAGATTTGTTGATTTTCGTAATTTCTCGGAAGAAATTGACCTTGAAAATATATAGTTTTTTGACCAAAATGAATCAATAAAAGTTTGTTTAGATGATGATAAAATAACTCTACAAAAATTCATTTTTATCAAAAAATTTTATTGTAGCACGATTTCAGATCGTTACCATTACAATTCACTAGGCAAAGCACGGTTTTAAATAAACCAGAATTGGGTAGTGGCTTCCTTGCCACTGTTTAGACTTCCAGGTTGAAAATTTACATAAAAACCAAAAGAACATTTGACTTGATTCAGTAGTTCAGGATTACATTTAATTATTCTCAATTTATTAAAGTATCTTTTTATCTTTAAAAATTTTATCAACAATTTCACAATCTTCAATCAAATAATACAAAAAATTTCCACAGTCAGATAATTTCTTATGAGCATTTTTGATGATGATATGTTTTTTAAATAATGGGGCATCAAGTGTCATTGTGTGGAAGTCCCCATATTCACCACATTCATCCATTCCATATTCATCACTAAATTTTTTCAAAACTGTTTGATATAAATCTCTATTTAATACTTTACCTACTAACATCCCACCAATTTTTTCTACATCATCATCAATATTATTATTGTTATTGGAAATTTTAAGAGTGACAATTGATTTTCGTAATTTTTCTAAATTCACGCAAGTTACCAAAATTTCAAAATTTAATTCAAAAATCTTTTCCAAAATTTCTTTTCTGTCCTTGCACCATAATGGTCTTAACAATTCCACACCAGTTTCTTTAACAGCTTTCTCCATGAATCCATCACACACATCTAAAATATCACCAGTGGCCAAATAATCAACATTTAATAAAGATATTTGTTTACGATATGATTCTAGAAATGGAGCAGAAATTTCAATAAATTTATTGGAAATATGGGCTTGCTCCAATTAAAGTAATGTTTAAAAGTAAATTTTTAAAACAAAAATCTTAATAATATTGATATTATTTAATGTTACTTAATAGGTTAATAATTTGATTCAAGCAACAGTAAACAAATTTTTAAATATTTATTATCTCGTGAACCCATTTACTAGCATTGATTCAGCTATTGAGACGTTGGATCTTTCTGATTTAGTAAAATTCACTGGTGAATATTATTTCTCTGAAATTCAAAAAATAAATCAAAACTACCTTTATGATATTGTAGAACCAGTTGTACGTGTTAACTATGCTCAAAATTTAAATGAAATTCATGCAATGGGAGTTTATATTGGATCAGCATCTATAGGAGCCAAAAAAATTAAAGGAGGGAATTATCAATTATTTGAAAAATTTGCTGAATATTCAGAAGCAAATATTAAATTAAATTCAAAAGTTATAAAAATAACAAAAAGATTGTCAGATACATCATTGAGATATTTGGTTCAAACTGAAGATGGAAATGTTGATGAGTATGATGGAATTATCTTGGCTACTCCAATAGTATGTAATATTTCATTTCTACATATAAAGTCAATAAAAACAGGGAGACCCTAAAATTAGATTTTTGAGAAGATTGAAAAAATACTGCATTTGAAACTTTACAGGAAAAAATCTCAAAACCTTGCTATGTAAAATTGGCATGATATCTAAGCCAAAAATGGTTTACATAAAGAGTTAGTAGTGCTAATTCAAAATATTGAGTTTCCCTGTTTTTATTGAAAAACCTCACATATTTTGTTTTTTTTTCATTTAAAAATAATTAAATATTATATTCCTACCTATTTAGGAAGTTTCAGGAATAATTTTTGAAAATATTTCTAAAATGCAAGAAATCAAAGAGATTCCATATGTAACACTTCATGTAACATTGGTGGCAGGAAATTTGAATCCAAATTATTTTGGTAAAACATCATTTGATGACTTACCACTACAAATAGTGACAACAAATAGTCCAAAAGTGGAATTCTTATCCTTAACAACTGAAAGAATATTGAGTAATGGTGAAACAGTTAATAAAATTTTCACTCTAGATTATTTGTCAGACGAAATTTTATCCAGAATTTATTTAAACACCTCTTGGAATTATAGAAAAATTTGGAAATCATATCCTAAATTGTTACCAAATCAGACTTTTCCACCTTTAGAAATTGATGATAATTTCTTTTACATCAATAGTTTTGAACCTTTTATTTCTGTAAGTTTTAAGTTTTTTTTTTTTTTGAAGGAAAGCTTAATCAATTGAAATAATGAAATAATAAAATAATAATTCTTTTCTTTTATTTTAGACTATGGAAACTGAAACAGTTTCAAGTAAAAATATTGTCAATATAATAGCAAGTAAGTGGGATGTATTTATTAATAAAACAAATCCTTAACCCTATTTGACAATGATGATGATAGTAAATAGCTATTTTTTATAATTAGTAAATATAAATATATATAACCAAGAGGTATAATTTAACTAAATTTATTCGCATATTCTTTGAATTATAATCAATTGTCCTTAAAAATGAAACATTTCGATCACAAAATATTTGTAATATTAATAAAATTGATGCTTTTAAAACATCTTTGGTAATCCAATATATATCTTCTGATATAGGATTAATCCATGGTCTACCTTACTCTTTCTATAAATTTCACAAATTATTGATTATCAGCAAGTTGTTCATTTTTGTAAAACTTTGCATGATCTTTTTGTCATAAAGCTATATCAGCATTCTAAATTGAATTTTGTTGTTGATTTCATGTCCCAATATTGGATCATTGTATTCAGGGCCAGGTGTAACATGTCAAATTTTTAATTTTAGATCTTCAATTTCTTTCTCTCTTTTCTTATTGATATTATTAATTTCTTCTAATAGTTGTTTGTTCCTTATTTTATTTATTCTTTTAATATACTTATATCCTTTTTATAAGGGTATGTTGAGCATATAAATTATTTTTAGTTACTTTTTTGCTATAAAAGTGGAAAAAGTTAACAATATTTAACAAAAGGTTAAACTTATTAAACATAATGACAGTAAGGGACAAATTAACAAGTGATGAAATCATAGAGGTGATTTTATTCTAAATATTTTATTCATTGCCAGTATAGATTGGTCTTGGGCAAGTAATATCTTTGTATTTGTCTTTCACAAATGGATGAATATTATTGTAAAGGTGTTCTTGTCTTTTGTAATTCAAAGGATAAAGATTTAATTTCTTCAAAAATATCAGCTTTCTTAGTTTTCAATAAATTTAATTCAGGATATTCTACATTCCTATTATTGTAAAAAAATAAGAATGCTTTAATTATATAATATGAATCATCTTTTTTGATTCAAGTATGTTTTGTAAAAAATAAGTAGGAAATAAGTAGAAAATAAGTATCAAATAGGAGATTTTAATAATCACATTACAAAGTTGATCCCTGAAATTTTTGGCAATACCAATGTTCACTTTGTTTGGTTTTGTTGCAAGCATGCCCCATATATAAAATTCTCTAATTCTCTTAATTCTAATAAAAAAAGGATTTTAGTCCGAAATCTCAACTTTAATTATAGCACAAAATTTTTTATATCAACCATGTATTGTTCCTTAGGTATTAAGTCACAAAAGTACATGGTTCAATTTTTTTTTTTGATACTAATATAAAAATTTTGTTTTAAAGTCAGGTGACCATTTTCGTTTATATTTATTATTATAATTGAGGTTGATCCCTTCCTAATCCATCCAGATATGCCTTATTTGTAAATAAATTTTTAAATCAAGTGGGTAAATTAAAAAAAGTCAAAGTGGAATAAATTGGTGTCATTATATTATATATTTGGAATTATTATTATGGGATGATTTCTTTATTACAATGTTAGTAATAGATTGTCTTCAAGATATTTTTGAATATTTAAGAAGTGATAACAATGCATTGCATTCTTGTGTATTGGTAAACAAAATATGGTGTGAGGCCGCTACTCCAATACTATGGAGCGATCCCTTTAAAACCCTATGTAGTGTAGTATTTTACAACAATGGGGAAAAACCAGCAGTAGAATCTATTGGAGAAAGCTATAACAACAATGGTTACAAACCAAAGTACAAAGAGTTTTCTGTCTCACGACAAAGAACTGAAAGTCTACTCAAAGCTTTTCTGTACTGGGCAACCGAACAACAAAAAAACTCTTTAAAAAACACAGTATCAAAATTTAAAAAAAAATCAAGGCCAAATTTTCCAAGGACTAGAAATGACACTGATTTTCTTTCTTTGATAAATTCAACATCAACATCAACGTTTGACTATCCCTTTTTCATGCGAACATTAGATCTAAAACGTCTCAGCTCGACTATATCTATTTGGTTAAATGACGTATATGATTCTAGCGAACCTTACTTTGTCAGTTCTGATGATGATTGTGATGATGAAGAACATGAGGAAGATATTGTGTATCTTGAGATACTTCAAATGATCCATCATGTCATTGTAAATAGATGTAAGCATATTACAAAAATTAGGTTTGATCCAATATTTACACAACATGACTATAAATTTCAGTATCTTATGAGCATACCAAAATCCAAACAATGTTTGTCAAGAATAAATGAAATAGAATGTTCATCTGATTTTCCAAAAGAAATATTTACCTCTTTGTCAAAGGTTTGTCAGAATATTGAAATATTTAAAATGACAACGAATTTCAGAGAAAATGTTGGATTAAACGAATTGATCAAAGTTCAAAAATGCATCAAGCATGTAGAGTTATATGGTAAAAGTGATTATAGTGATCTACTTGGAATTTTTCCACATTCTGAAGCTTCTTTCGTATTATATTCTAATGACTTTAACTCTGTCAAATTACACTATCATACAAATATGGTTAACATTTTACCACGTTGTGAAAATTTAAAAGTGTTAAAGCTGGAAATTCATAATAATTTACCCATTTCATTGATCAATCCATTGACAAACTCTTCATTTGTGAATTTAATAAGGCTAGAAATCTATGCAAACGCTTTAAGTTTAGGGCAGCTATCTCAAATTATTGGAAACACAGATGGAAAACTAACTTATGTTTCAATAGATTGTTGGAATTTATCTGATTTGGACAAAGATGGGTTTTTGTTTGAATCAGTTGCAAACTATTGTCCAGATTTACTTTATTTTCATTGTCCAATAAATAGGATAACTCCCTATTTATTGGAAGGAGTCAATAAATTCTGTGAAAATTGTCAAAAACTTCAACATTTTAAATTAGATTCTCCTGATGAACTTGATTTGTCTGAAATTTTAAACATTTTGGGCAAATCTGCTGGTCCTAATGTCACCGAATTTGGTTTTGAGGGTTCATGGATAGCGCCATCTAGCAAAGTTAACTCATTTATTAAATCTCGCAAAAAATTAGATAGACCATTTAAATTAAAGGTCAATGAAGCATTTAATTTTAATCATTTACCTTAATTCACATTCATTCATTATTTTTATTTTGTAGTTTATAACAATTTATTATTTATTATAAATAAATCTATATATAAAAAATAATATATGTTTTTTTATATAGATTCTGCCATTATCATTCTTTGTATATATATTAATATCAATATGATTTACTTATTAAACAATTATCATTCGATCAATGCATTTAAAAAAAACCTGATATATTCGTATACTTGATGATATTATTTTTTAATGAGTATACAACTAATGTTGAATAATGTTCACAATACAAAATGCTATTATTGTTTTATCTTTATTAAATATAATATTAGTGTAACGTTTATATGCTAAGCATAATTATCTTCCATTGTGATATAAATAAATAATAATTTACAATTTCATTATGACAAGTTCTGTTTAGAAAAAAAATTAATTAATTAAAAAATTAATGATAATAATGATAATAATGATAGTAATAATAATAATCATCACCAACTTACCATATACACTTGGTAAATGATCAATAATCATATTTGGTGAAAATCTAATTTCATTAAAGGCCTTTTCAACATCGTTAACTTTAAGTAATTGATTAACATTAATATTTTCCTCTCTTCTACATTCATTGTCACCACCGCTATCATCATTGTTATTATTATCAATAATCCAAAAAACTTGACCTCCTGGATACAATTTTGTATTATTCATATGCTCATAAATTTTTTGACTTGTTTCCCAGAAAAAGTCTTCACATTCTTCTTTAGAACTGTTGGAAGTGAATCTCGATGATTGATATTTAAGTATTTTTTTAATAATCACACTTACAAATTCTTCATTATCACCATCAATGTTGTTATTTTTTTTACACAAAAATTTAATCATATCACGTAGATCCTTTATATGACCAACACTTAATCTAGTTATGACATCAGTTCTATATGCTACTGACGTTACTAGTGGAATTGCCAGTTTGGATAAATCACCAGACATCACACAAGGAGAGGCAAATGCATAAGCATGAACACGTCGTCCAACAGGGAGACCACTTGATTTAGTTGTTTTACATGTTTTAGGTGATGCAAATAAAAGTGCTAATATGCTTGCGATTCCTTTTATCATTAAATAAAAAATGTTAATGATGATGATGATGATTGTTAATTATATAATAACAATAAAATGATAATTTACCAGCACCAAGTGAATGTCCAACTAATACAAGTCCATAACCTTCATTATTTCTTAATTCTTTTTTAATAGTTTCAAAAACTTTAGATTTTTTAGGTGTTGCCAATGTCTTTGCCACTTTATAAATTCCTTTATGCACTTTATATGTTTTATTGTCATGAGGTAATTGGAAATCTTCATAATCACACGTAAGATCAATGATCAGATCATTTACTGACATTGTGCCTCGGAATGCTAAAATGATTGATGAGGTTGTTCTGTCACGAATTATAAAATAGGTTGGATGATATCCTCCATCATCATTTTTATTATAATGGATATTATGATGTGAAGAATCAATTATTGAATTCAATGGTAGTTTTGTTTGACTGGCAAATGAGAATTTGTACCAATTGCCATGATCTCTTTTATTACGATTGAATGGTAGTTTTGAAAGAAGTGTGTTTTTGAAATCGTAAGCCGATGATGAAAATTTAGAGTATCTTTTCAAATTATGTGCAAGTGTAAATAATTTTTCATCAATTGTTTGACTAGATTTTTCTTCCAAGTAGGGATTATTGTATTTTTTGGCTGTCTCAATAAATAGATTATTTAAATCTTCATTTTCTTGATCCAACATTCCATTGTCAGGAGTGGCAATTTCACCCACCATAATCTCATCGTCATTGATGCTGTTGCTGTTGATGCCACAATTATCAGTACTATTGCTATTATTACTACTACTATTACTACTATTACTACTATTACTACTATTACTACTATTACTACTATTATTACAACTATACCGATCACTATTGCCATCACCACCACCATCATCAACATCAACATCACAATCATCAAAATCACAATCATCATTATCATAATTATTATTTATTATAGTCATTTCAATATCATCCTCGTTCTCCAAATGTATCCATTCCACTTCATATAATTTTTCATAAAGATTCAATTTTCTCCAATCTTTATCAATATTACATAAATCTACATGCTTGATTTTCTCGCAACTACCATTGATTTTATTCGCCCATCTTTTTCTGGTAATGTGTTGTATAAATGTCCATACAATTAGTGCCTTCATAATACGTAATGTTCTAAATTTTGTAACATTATTATTGTTACCATCATTAGTAGTATCCAAATTATTACTGCTATCACCGCCATCGATATTATTTACAGATCTATCGCTATTGTGAATAGTATCATCACAACTGTTTTCATCAATATCATCAAATCTCCATTCACGTTTAACAAGTGTTACAAATTCTTCAAGTGCTTTAGCTGAATCAGATATACCAAACAAGCTTTCAACAACTGATAAACCATCAGTTGTTGTATCCAAGCTATATTGAATAGTATCCGATGTCAAATCTATCCCAAACAAAGCAATATTCTCAGCAATTGACAATGTTTTGTGTAATATATTTGTTGATGTATCGATTATCATTGGAATAAATGAGTATCTGACAAAAAAAAAATTTTTTTTACAAGAAATCAAATAATATACACATACAGACATATATATTTATCTCCTTTTAAAGGCTGTCATTATCCCCAACATTATCATAATTATAAAAAACTTTTCTTACCCAGTATTATCATTATTTCCATTATTATCAATGTCTCCGTTATTGTTATTAATGGCATTCATTGTAGCATTATTTATTGAGATTAAACTATCTGATACAGTACCAGTCACCACCTTGGTAATTCCTAGCCCAGTTTGAGTTGTAAGCTTCATTGTATCAAATGTAACTTTGGAAACAACACTTGCAAAATCTAGACCTACTTTTGTTACATTAGTAACATTCGAAAATTGAACGGAAAAATTTGAAGGTTGATATGTTTCTTCTACTTTTGCTTCTTCATTTCCAATATGCTCTGTAAATGGTTCTTGAATTGTTTCAGATAGTTTAGAGTAATTTTCTTCTTGCATAGCTTGATTTTTAATTATTTTCAAGATATTTTTTTCAAAATCATAATATTTGGTTTCCTCATATTAAACAAAATTATTCTATAGATCTTTTCTTTTTTTAGACAATCAGTTCATGAGCATGTGATTGCTTGTTTATTAAAGACGTCACCAAACCTCCAAATTAGGAATGCTAAGAATTAAAAAGCTTAGTCTGGGCAATTAATAGTTTATAAACGTGAGATCACACGTGGAATGTTTTTATTAATAACTTTGAAACCAATTTAAATTTAACACAGTAAAAGTAGAATGAAAACTTTCCATACAAGAGTATTTGAACAGCCAATGCAAAAAAATCAAGTTATTGTTGTTGATTTTCAAGTTTTGTCTTGATCAGGTCATGTTTAAAATGATATCGTTACTTGTTAATTTACCAAAAAAGCATATATTATATATTAATATAATGACAATTATTTAAGAAATTCTACATGTGAAGACAAATCATCAAATCAGAAAAGTTTCAGTTGGATAAAAAGAACCATAAACATCATCCTGAACCATTTTATACAAGTCGTTTGTTAAGTGAATTAATTCGACAAGCTGAATCATCAGAAAATTTAACAAAAAGTTATTACATTAATTTAATGACTAAAAACACGTTTTTGTATGCCAATACATTTATTAATCAAAAGGTTATTTTAATTTAATGTCGTTTAACTATTTTCAATTAAAAACTATGTACTATTTAAAATTGACACCAAAAAAAAAAAAAAAAACTTTTATTTTATTTTTTTATAGAACTTTCTCAATAATCCATACTTATTTCTTCTCTATATAGAAACATGAAATTTTCCATTTGTAATCAAATCATACCCAGTGTCTAAGTTAAAATTATTTGAATTTCCTTTGTTCACCACAGAAAATTTTGCTATTTTAGAAAATTTATACTAAATCGATAAAATGATGGTTTATTTTATTAAATAAAAAACAATTAAAGAACTTGATGATACTATACATAAGTAAGTGTTATTAGAGGGTAGTTGTTGTTTTTTATGAGCTATTCTAGTTGAACTAAAAATCATGTTTATCATTTTTGTATCCCCTTAATGAATTAATTAATCACTAACAACAAAATGTCAATTGCAAAAGATCAAATGAATTTAGTAGAATTCTCTATATGACATTGATGTTATCGGTCCCGTTTACTTTGTCGAAAATTATTTCGTCGACAATCACTTCGTCGAAAGTTCATTTCATCGAAAGTTCATTTCGTCGAAAATTATTTCTTCGACAGTTCATTTCGTCGGCTTATGTATCGTACTAATGATAAATGAGGTGATGATAGTGATGGCAACAATATTGAC